TGTGTTCTGTCTTTTGTAGAAGACAATCATCAGAAAATTAAATAAAAATGAAAGAAGGATTCAAAGAAATACATTAAATTATAGCATCTCATATTTTTAATCGTCCTGCAGATGTTAAGTTACTGTTCAGGTAAAAGGCTGGAATCGTATAAAACCCTAAAGGATTGAAAACATTAAACATTTTGGTTTCAAACAGTCAAAAAATGTGTTTATATGGTGACTTAAAATAAAATAATATGTGCTAAAATGAAATACAGCTGCTGGTATTATTCTGTTTCTGTTATTTTATATCAGTTTGTTTATAATTTTGGGGTTTTTTTGCACATGCAATATGGTCATACACACATATTTACTGTTTTTCTTCCTTTTTCTGCCATTCTCAAGTTTATTTAATCATATTTTTCATTTTCTTTATTCCAGTTAAGAAAAAGTACAATTTTCTTTAGATTTATTTTTGTCAGCCAAACATCCATGCAAATAAACATACTGAACTAAATTAAAATTTGTTATCTTTTGCAGAATATTAAACAAAATGAGGCAGGTTTTTGTAAATCTACTCAACAACACTCGTTGCTGTCAGTAAACCGGCAGCATTTCTCCAGTTTGGGGTCAAAACACCGCGGATTAGTCCTTTAAAGTGTCCCAAAAAGCTAAATGATTAAAGCATGCATTACATTATATTATATTTTTACTCATTTTTATACTTCTTTCCCCTTTAACACCTATTTTGTCTTTCCACTGCGTACGTGTCAAGCTTTTTGCGGTTGATGATAAAATCCGCGGCCCGGCGAGTCACATGGAAGGCATGACAAAGCTTAATATTGTGTCACACAGACACAGCAGTGACTTTCACTCAAATCCGTCCAAACAGCTGATCACAGGGCAGAGTCGGCCGCTGGCATTAAAACAGCTGACAGTCGCACGTCTGCATGTGTGAGTTCATAAAAGTGGATGTGATTAAAGGATGGTTTTATGGGTTTTACGATGTCAAAACACTGTGTGGCTGCAAGTCAACCTAAGATCACAGGATCATAGAAACATGTCTTAACACTGGGAAAAAAAGTAGTTTTTAAACTTCTACAGGTAACCCCAAAATTAGTCATAGCCATGCAAAGTCTTGATTTAAAGGACATTTTTATTTAGCAGTAGATTTCTTCTGGCTGGAAATGACAGAAACAAGCGACGACAAAAGAGAGCACATTGGGTCAGAGATGTAGAAACATGTCTGGAGGAGAGAAGCTGAGGCCTTCAGGAACACCAAACCTCCCACCAGGCATGGAGGTGGCAGCATCATGCTCTGGTTCTGTTTGAGTTTACACAAAGTAAAGAGAATCTACTTTTTACTTCTTCGGGAAAACCTCAAACCATCAGCAGAAGGTTGATTTTGGACACAGTTGGATGTTCCAACCAGACAATGAGCCCAAACACACAAGAAATGGTTCCATCAGGCTGGAATGAAGGTTCTAGTCTGGTCTCCCACAGAGTCGCACAAGGTTCTTCCACAGCGGCAAGAGTTCTTCTATGGTGGTCACATCGATGCCCAACAGCCACCATATGTTTCTGTTTATTTGTGTTTATCAGTTTCGTTGCGGATTCAGAATAAAGACCAGAACCTGGAGTCAGACTCACTGCATTTGTGAACATACTCGATCAATGAGGCTGATTCTGGTTCCACGTGGACGGTTTGTGTTCCTGAGCAGCCTGTAGATGTCAGCAGAGAGCTGCCCTGTTCTGCACTTCACTACGTTATTGACACAGCAAACACACAAATTGATTATTTGCGTTTGTGATTAAAGCCCAAGAGTCTCCACAAGCACACCAACTACAGCGGATATCTGCAGGGCGGCGCCGATACCAGCTAATGAAGCTGCTGTTTGAGGAACCTGAGGAGATAAGAGGCAAACACATCTTCCTCCTCGTTATATTTATCTCGTCACACTCTCTCTGCCAGTTTACTCGACGCCGACAATAAACCCTTAAAACTTCTCTGCAGTTTGGACATTTTGCTGTTTGCACAAGGAGGTGGAAGGTGGCGCTAAAGCCACAGTGGAAATGTGGACTAAAGTCATCTCACGTTCCCTTTTTCATTCACGCCTTCTTTAATCCGTCCTGAATCATCTCCTGCTGCTCCTCCTCTGTTCTCCACCTCCTTTAATCTCCGTCCAATCCCTTTAAACCTCCTATTCGAAGGCATCGCAAACACAAAATTAACTTTAATTTCTCAGCTTGCACCAGAAAATCATCCTTTCATTGAGATCTGCAGTAAATTCAGACAGGATCTGAGGTTTAATCACGTCTTCTGGTTTTCCTTTATGGATGGAGAAACCAACCATTCACTATCCCGTTTACATGCTGAGGACAGAAGTTAGTTTTTTCTAAGCTGATTCTGGGGTATGTTTTTAAGCGGGTAGATCCAGACTTTGAAACTGGTTTGATGCAGCTGGTAAAGTTTAACTAAGATTACGCCAAGATGTCTGACTTTATTTTTGGTTTTCAGAGACAGACGGCCAAGATGAGTGAACGCTCATCCTTTTGTTACTTATTTTAAAAGAAATGCAGTTATCTCAGTTCTGTCTGTCTGCATTTAGCTGAATGAAGTCAGTCTACATCCAGTCTTTTAGCTGCTCTGTTCCCTTGCTGGGAGAATCTATGGGACTGTAGTCGTCTGGTGTTTTTATTCGTCTGATGTGGCCTAATAGTCGCAGGCAAATGTTAAATAGATGAAGTCCAACCTTGGACCATCAAATTAATAAATTCTGTCCCAAAATGTGAATAACTAAGCGTGAATGGGTGTCCACATACTTTTGGCCATATACTCCATAAGAACATACTTAAATACATATAGAAATGTGCTGATTTTCTGCAACAAATACAACACTTGGCCAAAAGTATGTGGACAGCTAAATGCTAAAGCATATGTGAAAAATATGGGGGTGACCCCAAAGACGTCCGAATACTTTTGCCACCATCCTGTATAAGCAGATACTTTAACACATACAGAAATGTGATGATTTCTCTGCAACAAATGCATGACCTGGTCAAAAGTATGTGGACAGCTGGATGTTGCAACATATATGAATAATATGGCATCAGCCCCAAAAGAAATACTTTTGTCAACATGCTGTATAATGCTTAGAGCAACAGTATAGGACCCCAACAGTCAGCAATGTTCAGCAGTACAAGCCCCGTACATGGATATCTGTCCTTTCATGAAATACTTTCCCCCCATATAGCAAAGACTTTTTGAAGAACTGAGCTTCATTTAGATCCTGGTTCCTTCAGTGGGAAGTGAGCTCTTAAAGGACCAGGGTTCTCGTCTTATATAGGACCATAATTCTTGGACTTAAGTTTTGTTTTCACCTGTTGTTTTTGGTTTGCTGTTTGGTTACGTTAAGGAAATATATCAGTCGACACCTTAGTGATACCTGCTTCTCAGATGCTTGGTTAAGTTTAGAAACAATGAGGTGAGTTTTAGGAAAATAGGTTTTAGCAACACAATAAAATACATTAAAAACTGAAATATAATAAAAGATATGATTTTTAAATGTATTCATATATCTCATCAGACTACAGGTAAAATCAGTGTCACTCAAAACCTCCATGAGAGCTGTCTCAATACTAAAGTTGACATAAACTCCAGATTTAAACTCATCCAAGTTATAATTTATAATATCTGGTACCAACTTGTTTAATGTTGTTTGCTTCCTGTTGGTACTTTTGTTTGTTTTTCATCTGACAGCTCGTGTTTTCAACATGTCCGACTTAATTTCAGCTTCTAGATTCAACAACACAACGCTGCACAATCGTTAATGACAAAACTAACAAAGAAACTATGAATATGGAGCAAAAACTAAACTGGAAGCGACTAATTAAACTCTACATGTTATTTACTCTGCCTGTTAATTTTAGAGCTGCCAGGCCAACAGACTGCAGAACAACAGCTGATGTGTTTGTTTAAGATAAGACGGCAGCAGATAATCAATTCAAGCCTCATCAATAAAGTCTGGAGATAACAGAGGAGGAGAGAACAGCTCCCACTGAAAATACCTCCAGATAACAGAAAGCCACAAGACAAAGAGCTGCAGGGAAATAATCATAGTTTGTCGGGTTTTGTTAAAATCTAAAATATTCTAGCTGCTACATCCACACTGTTGTGAATTAGGAATGTGGCATTTAAAAAAAAAAAAAAAAAAGTAAATTCCATTTTTCAGCTCAGCAGCACCATAAATCTTTAATAAACACACAATGTGTTTATATTTAAGGACAGAAAGTCACATCAGTTTGTGCAAACAGACAGAAGCTGCAAAGTTTAAAACTCTGCGTCTTCGTTCACAAAGAAAAAAAAAAACCTGCTGGTATTCAGTTACAGATCAGAACGTTACAGAAAAAAGGAAAACATTCACCATAAAAACCTCATGTACAGTTTCCTCGACACACTTTCTTCTTCAACATGAATATTTGAGAAACATGCACACACAGATTTGACAAGAAGAAAATCCTACAACTGTTCAGTGATAAACGAGAAACCCTGAGACCAGTATGACAGCCTTCACATCAAAACCACGCTGTAGAAACATTTACATCGATCTCATTAATGGAAACTGTTTTAACGAGTCATTCAGTGTCGAATAAATTAACTTGGCAGCTGCAGAATTCTTGAGAATGTTTAAACTGATCCAACGGTTCACGTCCATTCAGCTTTCAGTCTTCAAATGGGAAGCAGCTATAAATATCTCAGGTTAGTGTCGAGGACCTTCTGAACGTCCCCATAAAACACAACCTCACTAAAGGTCCCCACAATGCACATCTGCACTATGGGTCCCCATAAAGAAAGTCTAAAATCTAGTTGTGTCTGATCTAGATTTCAGAAAAGCTTTTCCATTAATGCTCTACTGAGGAGGTCCAGAATGAGTTTGGAAACTGATCTGTGAGTCCTCAGCTCAGTGTTTTGTGTAAATCCCGGCGTTTCCGTCCAGCAGCCATTTCTCTTTTTTAAACCATCACAGTAAGAGCAGAGGAAGAAGCAGCGTCAGATACAGAAACCAGCCGGTTGGATTCACGTCGACAGCTGATGAACCATACCAACGAACCTCCTCCGAGTCATCTGGGAAGTAGAGAAAAAAACAAACTGGTTTTATCATGTCAAGCAGAACTGAAGTGCTACCTTTGGACTCCTCATTACCTCAACACACTTTGAAATTCTTGTTTTTGTTGTGTATTTCATAGTTAGCACCCTTTTTTCCTGCACTACAGTTGATTGTATTCTATTTTTTAAGGCCGTCTTGAACTTCCTTCTGTTGCAGTGACGCTTTTCCTTCACTCTCTTAGAAGCAGAAGAACCTGAAGGAGCTCTGGGGATGTTCAAGGAACGTTTCCTACTTGTGGGGTTTCTGTGCAGCAGTTAAGGGGAGGATGTGTTGCTATTTAGAATTGTAAATGAATGGGTTCAGGGGGTCTTTGCATTCAGAGGGACCTCTTTCTGTTGCCGAGATGAAAAGTGTGAACGACTGGTTTTGAACCATCTGTTGGACGTCAACAGTCCGTCCTGTTAGAAACTGTTGTAGGTTTCTATTTACTGCAAGATGCCTCCAGTGTGATCCAGGATCAGGTCGCACCGGTCTGTCAGAGGGTTTTATGGGTCAACTTGGTTCTGAGGAGGACATCTGGTTCCTACGAAGTGTATCTTACCGCAGTCTTTGTGGAAGACGTGGGGGAAGCAGTGCAGGAGGCCGTAACCACAGCGGCAGTACGAGCAGCCTTTCTGAACCCATATGCCGTGAGGAATCGGGCCACAGCTCCTGCAGACAGATGGGCAGAAAATATGGAAATCACAAACCTGAAAAACCAACCCAGCTATGGGTTTGAATGTGTCACTAATAAACAAGGATATACAGTGTACTGCAAAAGTATTTGGACATTCTTACCTATGCTACAACATACATTCAGCTGTCCACATACTTTTGACCAGATACTGTATTACCTACAGTGAACCCAGCACATTTTTGTATGATATGGCCAAAAGTATGTGGACACACATTGCCATATTGCTTATACAAGACGTCGCCGGCCACATATTTTATGATAAAAATGGATTTAATTCAATTAGATAGTTTAGAGAACAAGGGACAAGGGTGTGTGGACATTTTAGGTTCAATTCTGTATTAATCATAATAAACAGGAACCTTTAGATGTCCAAAATATATTTGACCAGATTACAGATTTGTCCCACGGAAGTCACCACATTTCTGTATGTGTATGGCCAAAAGTATGTGGACACTCATTGCCATATACAAGTAGTTGTCTTCATATTACTGGACAAAGAATATATTTAATTAAAATAGATGGTTCTAAGAAAAAGCGTCAAAAGTATGTGGACAGTTTGGGATCAATTCTATATTAAACACAATAAATAGAAACATCTAGCTGTCCACATACTTTTGGCCAGGTAGAGAAAGCATGTTTGATTCTTAGTACTGTGAATATAAATATAGATCATGCTTTGAGTGATCTTAGCAGCATTTATATTTATCTAAATTTTGGTAGAGTCACCTCCTGTTTGCACTGTGACCATGAAACAGATGGTGTTCGGCCTGATTCCTTAAAATATTGGGGGAGAAAAAAGAAGTCTAGATAGAGAAATCTTAAGGTGATATCTTAAGGTTTGACTCTGTTGTAACTCTGAGAAGAAAAAAATGTGAGTTCTGAAATATAAATTACCAAAATATCACCTAACTGACAAATAAAAAGCCCCCTGAGTCGCCGTAAACGGGAGCTTGAGGACGAAAAGTGGCACCTCTGTTCCCGACAACCACTTTAGAAAATGAACGTAATTGCAGATTTGGCAGCAGCAGATGTTTTTCTTGTCCTTCACCTGATGCGTTCGTCGTACTCGCAGATCCTGCCGCTGAAGAACGGAGGACAAGCGCAGAAGCTGCCCAGGATGCAGGTTCCTCCGTTTTTACAGCATCTCCGACTCTGTTGAGCACCTCAAAGAAAAGATGGTTTTATTAACTCGTTTCCTTCACTTCATTTTGCATTTGTCAGTTTATCCGGGTGTCTTCTGAGCAGCGTTTGAAAGTCTTGATTTTAAATGTTCTGTGTTTGAATTTTGAAGCTGCAAAGATGGATGAAAATGACCTTAAACTTTACTCAACATCTGTCAAAAATGTCTTAAAATCTGTCAAAGTGATTGAAAACTTGTCCTAAAGTCACTGTTCTGTGCAGGATGATGTTAGAATGACGGAAATCATAAAAAAGTTAAATATCTTTGATGACTGATATCACAGTGATTTTCAAAATATGTTGTATTTAATACATTTAATTGGTTCCCAAACAATATTATGTCAAATTAGTCCAAAATTACTCAAAACATGGAGAAAAAAATATGTGAAAACAACCAGAAACATGCAGAGACTCTAAATGACTAAACTTGTACAGAAGTACTCAGAATGACACAAAACTGGTCAAATATAACTCAAGATTTGTCCACGACTTAAAATGTGTCTAAAACTACTCAAAACACATCCAAGACTCCTTGAAGTGCTTCTAAATTTTCCAATATTGAAAATAAATGTCCAAAATGTCTCAAAACTTGTCTAAGATGACTGAAAATGACTTAAAAACTTGTTAGAAATTAGTAAAACTCATCTAAGATTACTCGTGTTGTCCAAAATGACTTAATTGGATCCAAATAACTCAATACATCAATAAAATTACTCAAAAATCTTCCAAATGACTCAAAATTACTTTAAACTTGCCTTTAAAATTGCCTAAAAATATCTTTAACATGTCTTTAAACTGTCCATGCTGCTAGAAAAGGACTTCAAATTTGTCAAAAATGACTTAAACTTGTCAGCTATTACTCCAACTTTGTCCAAAATGATTTAAAACTCATCCACGATGACTCAAATGACTTAAACGTGTCCAAATGACTCAACACATGACAAAAATTACTTAAATCTGCTCCAAATGACTCAGAACTTGCAAAGATTACTCAAAATGACTTCAAACTTGCCTAAAATTACTCAAAATGTGTCCAAAATGACAAAACTTTGTCCGTATGATTTTAAAACTTGCTGGAAATGACTCAAAATATCATCAAATTGTCCTTAAACGTGTCCAAAATGTCTGTAAGGTTTAGTTTTACTCTCCTACAGTCTCTGTGCACTTTAACCGACTGAACGGAGGTTCGTGGGGCCTCTGCTGGTCCTCGGACCACGGCTTGAGCCTCCGTCTGTATCTGAGATAAACCAGAGTCTCCATCTGGAAGCATTCCTTCAGTTCTTCTGCTTCACGTCAGCAAACACAGAGAGTCTGAACAAACGTCCACAATCACAGAACAACACTAAAACCGGAGCAGCAGCAGAACCTTCAGCTGGCTTCATACAAACCACATTTATTTCCTGTTTTATTCTGAAAAACCTCAGTTTAAACACGGCTTTTATTGTTTCGGTCTAGTTTCTGTATCTGGATAAGTTCATGCTGCATTTTTCAAATTTGTTGCCAGAAAACATTTCTTAATGAGTTTTTTTCTTTTTTAATTTTAAAACAAAATGTTTAAAAAAAAAAGCTGGAAAGCTTGTTCGTCTTAAAGAAAATATTCTGAGCAGAATCAGGTTATTTGTATGATTTAGTCCCTGAAGTTTAGCTTTCTAGAATTAAATAAAAAATGTATAAAAAAGAAAAAAATTATTCTTGTTCTTCCTGTTAGATTCATTTATTCACATTAAATTCTGGTTAATTTCTTTTGTAAAATTCCTCAATTATTTCAAAACACAGAAATTAATTGTGAGGCTAAAATGTGTTAAAATTGTTGATTTGTTTTGTTTTCACCTGAAACTTGACCCTAAAAACTCAGCGTCTCGTCTTTACTCTGAGAAACCTTCTGCTAAACAAACCTGCAAATTTTTATAATTAAATTAACTTTCCTCACTTCATTTAACTCTTTATATTCTTAAAAACAAACTCTGTAAGAACATAAAAAGCAAATTTTACTTTTGCAAGAAGTTATTTCTAACTTTTAGTCCCTCAAGTTTTAAAATTGACTAAATTCTGGCTCTAAAATTTGCCTGAAACTCGAGTCTAAAGCCTCAGTTCCTCGTCCCCTCGTCCCCTCGTCCCCTCGTCTCCTCGTCTCCTCGTCTCTTCATCTCCTCGGTGGGAAAAGTTTACCGTCTGTTTGAGGCAAACTGCTGAATTCTTTTCGTCGTCCGTTCTGTTTGAGCGGCGGTCGAGTGTGAACTTACTGCCGGTGAGGCCGACGAAGGGCAGGACGGCGCCACCATCTCGGTGTTTACGCTCCCCGTCGTTTGGAGGGGTCCCCGGGACGAGCTGGTCCAGGGAGCGCCGGGAGGACGACACCACCACCACCGAAGAAGAAGAAGGAAAAGAAGAAGGAAAAGAAGAAAGAAAAGAAGAAGGAAAAGAAGAAAGAGGAGGTGGTGATGAAGAGGTGGTCTGGCCTCTGATGCACTCTAATCCTCTACAGTCTGCAAAGAAAAGTTTGGTTTGAACCAATTGGTTTCCATACATGACACAAAGTTGGACATATTTTCCCAGAATGCCTTCAAACCTGTCCAAGATCAATAAAAATGACGTCAAACTTGTCAAAAATGACTCAAATCTCATAGAAGATCACTCAACGTGACTTTAAACTTCCTAAAGGTGTGTCCAAGAAGTCTCAAAACTAGTCTGAAGTGATTAAAAATGACTTTAAAAACATCCAAATAAAGACTCAAACTTGTGGAAAACGTGTCTAAGATTATAGATCCACCATTGTCCAGTACGATCTAAAAGTCATCCACGACGACACAAAATGACTTTAAACGTGTCCAAAATTACTCAAAACAAAATATAACGCAAAAAAATAACTCAAAATTTGGTCCAAGCGAAATAACAATTCTTTAAAATGACTCAGGACTGATCCAAGACGACTCAAAGTGACTTTAAACTTGTCAAAACTTGCTTTGAATGTGTCCAAAATGTCTCAAAACTTCTCCAGGATTACTGAAGATGACTTACAAAAATATCAAAAAAGACTCAAACATGTCTACGAGTACTACAACGTCGTCTAAAATAACCCGAAACTCATCTAAGACGACTCAAAATGACTAAAACGTGTCAAAATGACTCAACACACGACAAAAAATTACAGAAAATTGCTCCAAATGACTCAAAACTTGCAAAGATGATTCAAAATTACTTTAAACTTGTCCAGAATTATTCAAAAATTTCTCAAAACTTGTGACACAATGTGTTCAACTTTACACCAAAATTACTCAAATGTGTCCAAAATGACTGAAAACTAATCCAAGACGACTAAAATGGGCTTTAACGACGTGTCCAAAGTTACCTAGAAATATGTACAAAATGACTCAAACTTGTCAAAGGTTACTCTGATTTTGTCCTAAATGATTTAAAACTCATCCAACGATGATCAAAATTACTTAAAAATCGCTCCAAATGACTCGAAACTTGCAAAGATGACTGAAAGTTACTGTAGAACTTGTCCAAAACTACTCGACATGTGTCCAAAATGACATTAAATTTGTCTAAAATGATTTAGAACTTATTCAAGACTGACCAAAGTGGATTTAATTTGTCCAAACTTCAAAACTAGTCAGCGAGTATTTAAAAAGACAGAAAATTAACCTAAATGAGTCAAATAATGATCAAAATTACTTTAAAATGGCTCCAATTGACTCAAAACTTCAGAAATTTGATTCAAAATTACTTTAAAATGTGTCCAAAGGGACATAGAACCAACAAACTGATGACGTCGGTGGACATATTTTGGAAGATGAGCCACAGTTTTGGTGAAAATCTTTTCTTTTCCACTGTTCTTGTTTTTTGAAGCTGTGAATTATGAACATTTTGCACATTTGAAAACTCATTTTATCCACAAACACAAAGAATCTGTGTAACATGGTTAAATCAGGAAGAACTGTGACAATCTGAACGAGAATCTCTGGTTTATTTTTCTACTAATGTTCCTTAAATGTTCCTCTTTACTCCTGTAACACTGCAGATTTCAGCCCTGTGGGATTAATAAAGACTCACTGTGTCGTATGAAACCGACTGCTGCTGCCGTCTAATGTGATTAAAGACGAATTTTAAAACACATTTGACCGTTTTATCCAAAAGATTGTCGATGCAAAGTCCATAAAACATCTGCATTAAGTCTCCAGACTCAAGAAAAGTGAAGCGAATACGCGTCTGTGGAAACAAACTGAGCTGAACTTCCTGTAAACACATCAGAAGGTGTGAGTTCCTGAAAATCTCCAGTAAAAAGGTTCAGAATGAAGATTTAAAGTCCCTCAGACTGGTTGGTTTTTACACATTTTAGGACAAAAACACAGCAGCTGGTTTGTATTTTACACAATATGTTTAAATTAAAGCTAAATCTGACTGAAATGTTTCAATGTTGTTGCATTAAACACGATAAATGTGGAGTTTTTAGCTCCTTAGAAGAAACGTGGCCTTTCATATGAGTGGATTTGTTTAATTGAGTATCTTTGGTCAGTTTGGAGGCTTAAATGCAGAAACAGACCTGAAGCCGGCAGAGCAGCAGCATGAAGAGGCAGCAGACACACCACCATCCTGCAAACAGACAAATTCAGTCACATGTTCACTTAGACAGCATGTTTTTAATGGTTTTATGGTTTTATTGGGTCTCCAGACTCACCTGAGCAGCAGCGTCCAGCTCATTTTACCAACAGATGAAGTTTTTAAATAAAAAAAAAGCAACTTTCTGGAGTTTTTCTCGCAGTTTCAGCTCAAAGTGAGAATAAAATGAATAAATAATGGGGGGAAAAAACAGCAAAATAATCCAAAAGCTCTCCAGAAGAAGTCAAAAAAGGTCAAAATGTCCACAAGTTAAAAAAAATAAACCCAAACCTCGTTCTGACTTCACAGCAACAGATTTAAAACCTTCAGAGAATTTAAAAGAATCCCTCAATGAGCAGAAACTTGATAAAAACCAGGAGCAGTGACTGGTTTCCTCCTGCTGCTCTGCTCTGGATCATCTGGAGCTTCTTCTGCCCTCCAGGTGAGACTCTCTCAGGGGGCGGGGCTTCGGGAGGTCACGCCCCCTGACGTCACTCTCTGAGAGGAAGTTCAGCTGAAATCAATAATTACAGAAACCGGCTGGAAAAAAACAACTGACAATGTGCAAAAGAAAAGCTGAAAAAATGTTTAATCGTGTTTTAATTAGTTTTTTATGCAATAAGTAGGAAAATATTCTGAACCTGGTTCATGAGAAGTTTTTATTTTATGTAGAAATTATTTATTAACTGGACAAAAAATAAATAAAAAGTGGGGATATTTTAACAAGAATAAATCTGTTTTTCCTGTTTTAAAGCTGCAGATTTTTGATGTTTTCAGTTTGTTTTACGGCTCAAGCTGAAAAGAAACGAATCTGACCAGAAGATTTTAATTTAATTTATGTCTGATGAGAAAAAAGAATCAGTTTTTGAATTAATCACTTTCTTTCAATTTTTGCATAAATAAAAATAAAAAAGCAGCGTTCAGGCTGTAATTAACAAGAAACAGCCTGAAAGAAACGTCACTGTGTCTTTTTCAAATGTATATGTTCAGGTTTTTGTTTAAAAAAGTTAAATTAAATGATTTTTTTTCCTCCAGTTTATGGTTTCACAGCAGAGTTTGTGTGTTTTTTTATATTAATTTGCGTCATTTCATTTAAATGTCGTCAAAATTCAGCCTGAATCTTCTCTAACTTCACTCTACATCCTTACTTTTGTTTAAATAATGGAACAATTCCTTCTCCAAATGTTTTTTTTTAGTAAAATTCTACCCCTACATGTTTTTATACACATTTTTAATCATATTGCTGTTTTATAATCGACTCTGTTGCAAACCCTGTACAGGTCTCGTGCATCATTTTACATAAATGTCACCAGATTTAAGCCTAAAACATGTTTTTTATAGTATTCATGGTGTTAGTTTGTGCGTCTGACACAAACCTCCACTGAGACGAGGTTGAAGGTCATTGCTTGGTTTCTGCAGGACGTTAAAAGCAGTCGTTTGGTTTCTGGAGCTGCTCTGATTCAACAGGTGATTTCAGATTGAGCTGCTAAACGATGTTAATGTTCAAAAGTCCAACAGCGATTATTTTAATAAAAACTCTTTTAATGCTGAATTATCAAAGGTTTGGATGATGGAGAAGCTTTGATAATGACATTTAGAGGTTTACTAATGAACCGAGGCGACGATAAAGATCAAGGAGCTGTTGTGAAGCAGTTTGATCAGATGAAGCTGAACCAGAGGAAATGGATCTCCACAGGTTTCCTTTTGAACTTAAACAGAAACATGCAGTCGTCCTCAGATGTATTCACACCCTCCCATTAACGAAGGAAAACAGCAGCTGTCAGCGAAATAAGTGACAAAAGTAATAATAAATAAAAATGTAATGAAAGTCATGACATTGGCTTTAAAATGTGGTTCAACAGAAAATAAAATAAAAATGGATTCTGGCTCAACGCTCATCAGCAAAGGGCTCTAATTTAACTGTTCTGTTTGATTTTTTAAATTATTCTTTTCAACCACAATTCAAAAGTAATGTTGTATTTCACTAAATAATAATTTAGCAAATTTTTATTTATTATTACTTTTTTCAGTTTCTAATTATTTCAGTGACTTTTGTGGATTTTGCCTTTTCTTTAAAGGAAGGAGATAAATAAATCTGACTACTGTATTTGTGGTGACGTTTCTTCTTCTCTTTACTTCTTTCCGTCTCCTTTCCTTCCTCTGATTATTCGTCTTTTCCTCGTTTCCCTTCCGTCTCTCTGTGAACTCGGTTTCCCTTCACCTCCCCCTCCGTCCCTCTCTCTCTCTCTCTCTCCATACTCATGCAGATTAACCTGTCGCTCGTCCACTCTCAGCTTCACATGTAAACGAAGCTGCTGCTGACAGGAAGTCCACCTCAAACAGAGCTGCCTCCCTGCAGGCAGCAGCTGAAAACCTTTCACACTCAGCAAACCCGCCACGTCTGGTGTTTTAACGAAATGCAAGACTCAAAGTGTTGTTTGAGCCACTAGTTCTGTTGCTTTCATGTTTGTTCTTGTGTTTTTGCACAATAATTAATGTAATAATTGTCATTAAACAGGAAATATATGTGAAAAGTGTGAAGAACATGTTGATTAATCTGCTGCTGAGTGTCCACAATCTATCATTTGTGCCTTTAAGACGAATAATGAGGTTATATTCCGACATTAAAAGCACATTTAAGAACCTGGAAGCTTAGACGCTGACTGTTTATATACATTTTAATACTTTCCTTCTTGTTTGGTTTTACATTTTCTATTCAAATGAAGTATTTCTTGCAGGTTCGGCGACATATTCAACCTGTAAGACGACATTTATTTGAGAATGCAGTCACGTCCTGGCAGCTACGTGAGAGATTTGTTGGTATATTTATGATTTTAAAGACTTTTTTTTACTGGTTGCGGCTGTAAAACTGCAAATTTCCCTTCTGTGGGATCAGTAAAGGATTCATTTCTCTTATTTTAGGTTCAACATTAGCATCTTTCCATCCTCGTGGTAGAAGCAGTTCGTTTTCTTTACTTCGTCAGTGTCGTTTTTCTGTTTCAGTTTATTAGTTTTTCCATTAATCTGTCTTCCGTGAACCTTCTGTTTCTACCAGTCGCTGCATTTTCCTCGTTTGATGCCGTATTCTGCTCAACGTTTGCCACGAGTCGTTCCTTCTCACCTCATCTCAGAGGTAAACCACAGCTCCTCCCCCGCCTCCCGCTAATCTGCCGCCGCTGTGAGCGACAGCCGGAGGTGGAAATGGGTGTTTTGTAATCGGCGCAGCATCACAATGCCGCCCGGTCTCACAGCAGCGGTCGATCTGCATGTGAAAGCTCAGATTGTGCTTCGGGACTCGGCGGGGAGGCAGAGCTCGGGTCTGGGATGAAGACGAAGGCGATGGAAAACACACCCGGCGCTGAGTCGGTGTTTGCTGAGAGGAAGTTTGTAGCAGCTGCACTGATCTTAGGCCTCAGTTTAAGATTAAATGTCTGTTTGACTTCTTATGACACGATTACCTCTAATAACACAGTGTGCACTGTTTTATTTGTGTTGTCTTTAAATCTATTATCACGAAGCCTCTTTGGAGCGACTGAGCTTCAAGTTTGAACGTTAGCTTTACCATAAAAAAACCTTCAGTCTTATTGATTCAGACCAAGTTTATCGCTTTAAACAAGCCTGAACTGCAACGTTACAGCAAAACAAAGTCGATTTATGGAAATATTTTTCCACATTTCACGTCAGTTTCAAGGTTTTTGTTTCACTTTGCCGCCATATTAAACCAGAAGGTTTGTCTCTTTGTATCACGCCGTACATTATTTAGTAGTTTCCTCATAGACTTCTATACATTTTGTCATTTGGTTAAGAAGCCAAATCAGATTTTCATCTCACTGCCTCGTTTCCAGCTCCTGACAATAAACCTCTTGAAGCTTGAATCTAAATTAGAAATACTGCCAACAACCATGTTTGTCATGTTTTCAGGACTAACATGTCGTATTAATCAGGCTGTGGATGATTTATGGAAAAAAAACAGTTTGCAAAAAGCTTCGATATGAAAGTTCAGGTTAAAAAACCATCACATTAGTTTCGTCAGTTCCCTCTGAGAGTCGTAGTGTTCCCTCATGACAGCAGACCACGAGTCGATTTGTACCAAAGGAGGCAGAAAGGTGGAAAATATTTCATGCACTTTAAGTACGAGAAGAAAAAATAAAAGAAACATTAGTGGAAGAAGACGAAGCAGCAGACTGACATGAACCACAACCAGGCAGAGTGTTTGTCTCCCTCTAGTGGACGCTTGATGAAACACAGTCAAAAGTGTTATTCCATCCCAGATCATCGGGTTCCTTCTGCTCGACCGTCTCTGATTTATCATAAACTCTGGATATTTAACGAACATTTAGGCTGATTTATAATAAACACTCATAATTACACATTGACAACCTGAGGCTGTTTAATAGTTCCCCAGATATTGTTGATCAATGATAGAAGCCTGAAAGAACAATATTTTAGTGCTTGTGGTGCAACGAGTCGTAGCTGCTCAATCAGTTATTACAGTTAAACAAATAAATCTTAGAAAGTATTTAAGGTATTGAGTGAAAATGAAACAAATATCTGCAGGTTTACTTTTCACCTTCACCTTGTCTACTTTTTTGTTGCATTATTGGACACTTTGATTTATTTATTTCTATCTATATATATATATATATATATTTATTCCTTGTGTGTTTTTTTCTTTATTCTTTATTCTTATTCCTGTTTCCATGTGGACCAGGTGCTAAATAGATTATATTGCATGTTATACTAACTAGGATAATTGTGTTTGTGACAAATGAATGTGATTCAAGAAATAATAAATAAATGCAGCATGGCTAAATTAAAAACAAACAAACAAACACACGTTCAGCACGGTGAAACATGTTTCTGCAGCCGATGAGAGAGAAAAAGTGTAAAAACAGAAATAGTGAGAGATCTACAGTATGTATAAATACTGTTAGTACTACATGGTACCAGTTGATTCTGGATGTTTTTTTTTTTAAATAAACAATCACAGAAATTCGATGTTTGTTTTTGTTCTCTCTCCTTCTTCGTGGTCGTTCTGCTTCCACTGAGCTGCAGGACTTTAGATTTCAGAGAAAAATTTTAATTTACATCCAATAAGTCTC